TCTGAACGTGACCGAGAGCATGATCAAGACCATGACCGAGACCGAGAGCGTGACCGAGACCGAGAGCATGATCAAGACTATGACCGAGACCGTCACCAAGACGTTGGCCGAGAGCGCGACCGAGATCGTCACCAAGACCGTGACCGAGAGCGCTACCGAAACCGTGATCGCCCACGTGAGCGTGTTTCGAGTGAAGAAAGGAAACGCGTAAGTCGTTCAGCTCGATCGAATCGACGAGATGATAGCGACAGTGAGGACGACAATCGATGTCGCGATCGTAGCCGTGGCCGCAGTCCGAGGGATGATTATGACTCTAGGAAACGCCGCTCTCCGTCCCCAACGCATCGCCGATCGAGACGTGAAGAGCGGGAGTTATCTCGCCATTCGTCACGCTCGTCCCGGCATGAGAGAGAGGAGAGCAGTCACTCTGTGTCAGACATTCGTCCTAGTGAACACGACGTCAGTGATGACAGTCAAGAGGAAGATGAGGACAGCCCTCGTCCCTCGACTAACAGCAGTACTCGCAGCGTACTCGTGGCTCAGATCAAGTCTGGATCAGGTCTTGAAGGCGGTATGGCTCAATGTAAGAACGTGATGTCCGACAGCGAAGAAGAAGACGTTAATTACGAGAATAAACAAGCGGACCCACCAGAAGAAAGCCCTCGCGAGCCCTTGACGTCGTCAACCGATCCAATTGATGACGATTTTTCTCATGAAAAGCTCGAGCAAATGATCCCGCAACGAATGAATCTTACAGAGCCGACAAAGCATAAAAACTCTGAATATTTCGATTCAGACGAAGAAGAGCAAGAGCAACCGCCGTCCAAAACTAATACCAGACTCAGTGACAACAAGACTCCAGTTTCCAACGTCACAGCCGACAACAACTTCGTTCACGACGACTGGGACGCAGAAGAGGAACCGACATCTCAACCAACAACCAAAGCTGCATACTCGGTATGAACTCTAATTTTTCATCAAGCTATGCTCTTTTAACTAATATCTTACTGATGTCTTGCAGACTGCTCTGACTGGAGGCGTTGCTGCCGACGCAAACTTTGTGCATGACGACTGGGACGACTGAGTTAACGTTAGTAACCCGTAAAGTAAGTTGATTCTTACACAAAATATTTGTAAAGAGAAACTTTGCAAGAAAAAAACGTAAAAATTATTTCATGCACTGAGAGAAATAGCCTCAATAACGACGTCACTCAACCACAATAACGACGATCACAGCCGGGAGCTCGTGATCACTTGGTGGTACGTCTCACTCGTCAGTAGTTCATAACTGTCCTTGGTTCGGTTAAAAACCCACAAACGATCTGAAATCTTGGACGGATCCATGCCTTCTTTGCGCAGTTTGGCCTTCTCCTGCTTCATCGTGCCCGTCACACTCATCGCCTCCAGTTTTCGGATAAACAGCGGCATGGCATAAGACGGAAGTCGCTGCTTGACAAACTGCGCGAACTCGTTCAAGTCGAACGATTTCTCATCAAACACCATCGCAGCCATACACGCACGTCCCTCATTACCCGGCACTTCCACTCCATAGATGCAGATCTCACTCAGTCCAGGGAACTTGGAGACTGCCTCGGCCACTTCATTCGTGGCCACGTTCTCCCCCTTCCAGCGGAATGTATCACCCACTCGGTCCACAAAGTGCCAGCAGTGTCTCTCGTCTTCTTTGAACAAATCCCCTGTCCGGAAATACATGTCCCCTTTCTTGAATACATCGGTCAGCACCTTTTTGCTCGACTCCTTCGTGTTCTTGTAGTAACCCTGGAATCCTCTGGCCGGGTCTTTCCTGTTCACTTTCACAATAAGCTCACCGGGCTCATTAATGGCGCATTGTTGCAAGAATCCCTTCTTCGAGCGGATATAGTCGTCTTTTTCAACGTCGTACTTGACGATGGCCACTCCAGTGACAGCGTTATTGATGAAGCCCCGTCGGCCGAGATGGCCCTGGTCAGCCTTAGTGGTACAGGCATTTAACATGCCCATAGGACCCTCAGTCGAGCCGTAGAACTCGTATACCGATGGGATACCGAACCGTTCTTGGAATGGCGCCCAAATATCCGGACGTAACCCGTTTCCAAAGGCTGCACGCACATGATTCTCCTTGTCGTTGGTCTTGGCCGGCGCATTCATCAGATACCGACACATCTCGCCGATATATTGGATCACAGTGCAGTCGTACGCCCGCACTTCGTCCCAGAACTTGGACGTTGAGAAGCGGCGTGAAAGACACAGTGTGGCACCAGAAAAGATCATCATTCCTACGGCCAAGTTGCCTCCTGAGGTGTGGTACAGTGGCAGTGCACAGTACAGTCGGTCATACATGGACAAGTGCATCGAGTACTTGAAGGCCAGCGAGCGAAGGATGATACTGAAGTGGTTGACCCTCGCGGCCTTCGGTAGGCCCGTCGTCCCGCTCGTGTAGATCAGTAGGGCCATGTCCGATGTCGAGATCTGACGGCGAATAGACGCGGGCGGTCGCTCTGTCGGCATTTTGTTGAGTTCCTCGTCCATCGAGTGAGCCTGTGGCAGGTAATTAGCTGCGGCCTGAGCTGTTAAGTGTCCTACAATCACACAAAGACATCGGTCATCATTAGTTTGGTATTGGCCACGTGTGGTAGCGGTAAAGATCGATGTTTCTTACCGTCTCCGTAGATGTGGAAGTCAAAGTCGGCCAGTTGGTCGGCCACCTCAGTCAACTTCTCGGCCAGCTCCTGGCCTACGATCATCCACTTGGTGTCCGCGATTTTGGCGCAGTGAATAAGTCCGTCAGCCTGCAGGTGCGTGTTGAGCAGCGCCGTGATGACGCCGATCTTGGCCAGGCCGAGCCAGACGATCACAAACTCGGGCCGGTTCTCCATCAGTAGAGCTACAGTCTGGCCGGCCTGTAGGCCCTGGTGTTGGCCCCAGTGGGCCACGCGGTTGGCCGCCTCGTCCACTTGCTGGAAGCTCAGTACGCGCTGGCCGAACTGCATACACGCCTTGTGCGGCCATTTGGCCACGCTCTGCTCGAACAGATCCGGTATCAGCGATCCATTGCGCGCGTGACGTTTGGCCTGCAGTAGCGCCACGGCCTGCATACCTGAGTGATACAAGTCTGACGAGATCAACAGCTTCTGGTCCATGTAGTAACCGAGCGCCGCGACTCCGGCCACGGCCAGAAACTTGGTGGGAACGCCGAAGGGAAGGGCGGCCAACGCGTCGGAGACGTTGGCCCAGGCGTTGGCCACAGACGAGAGCGCGTCCTGCGGCAGCAAGTCCGTCATCGCTTGAAGTGGGCGGATTATAGAATGACGTGAAGAAAGATTCGCGTGACGGAACAGGTCAAAACGACTAGATTAAAATATGCGGCTGTTTTGATATGATGACAGCATATAGCAATCATGTCGCAAAGTTTGCAGTCGCGGAGGAGGTTGTACACTTTGCTGGTCACGAAAATCGTGAACTTGATCCTCTTGAAGAGGACCTCTTCGTTTTCTTCGTAAGGAGGAGAGTAAATGCTCAGTCTGCGTTTAGTGCCAACGCTTATTAGTCCACACTGGATCAGGTTCTTCGTGCAACTTTAATGTTAAGCATTTTTAGACTTCAACCTGGAAAATGGCTACATTGAAAATTGAAAATTTACGTTATCTAAAATTTCATTTTTGAATATCACAATAGTTCACTTCAACGAGTCGAAAATTCCGACGGTCAGCTAGCTACGTACGTGCATGAATGAGTATGCTATCGTCTTGCAAAAGGAGATCGTTGTACATGTACTTGTGGCAGCCCTGTACGACAATTGCAGCCCCAATTATACTACTAACAGTACACCA